TTAAAATGGAATATAGACTATTATTTATCAAGTAATGCTCTGGTTAGTGGCTAACCGGGAGATTTGAGCATATGATCTTTAATGGCACCGTTCTGTACGTGCATCGTAAGATCATATTTCGTTATTCGACAGTGCATCTTAACATCCATATTAGCTGTGATACATTACAATTACTTGTTTTATTTTTATTTTATTTTATTTCATTTTTTCATTTTATTTCATTTATTTTATCTTATTCCATTATATTTTTCATAAATAGTCTATATTCCATTTTAATCTAATTTATTTGTTTCATTTACGGATTCGTTTATTAAAATTTCTTGTATATCATTATAAACTTAATAATTAATTTTGACAATTTTCCATATTCTTTCCACACATGTCTTCTTTTCACATTCAACTAGCTTATTTACGTTTTATTTACATCATCCGATTTTAACAAATTTTCACCGAACTAAACTTCAGTATTAATTTATTTGTTTTAATATTTAATTTAATACTATTTTACTAACTTTTTATATACATTTAAATTTTTAACCATAAATTTAATTTGTACATGTTTTGCATTGTTTTCACTAACAAAGGTTTCTCGTTATTTTCTTAATAATTTTATTACACATACATTTAATATGCATTCTAATTTTATAAAAATATTTCATGCTATTCTTATTTTCATAGGCTCTGAAGATGGACTTCCCGAAACAGCGCTGTTAGCCTTACCATATCTATTGTTTTAAATAAATACGAGTTTAATAAATTCAGACTTGTTGAGTGTTCATTAAAGAAAGTCATTAATGCAAAATGGGCATATATCTTCAATGATGTTTTTATTAAAGAAAACCTCGTTCCGAAATATATATATATATATATATATATATATATATATATATATATATATATATATATATATATATAAGTGTTTCGCTAACCCCGACTGTAGTCTCAGTAATGTTTTTGAGTAAGTTTGTACGGACAGCAAATACAACCCCATTAATTCGCAGATCATTGCCTGATAAACCCCTCTAAAAGAATGTGTATCCTGCCTCCATTTCAACTGGAGATCCTTCGTCCGGCAGACGGGTTTCAGAGAGAGCAGCAATGTCGATTTGATATCTGCCCAGCTTAAGAGCAATAAGAGCGGTGCGCCGCGCAGGTCGTTCGGTAATAGTTCGGCCCAAAAGCGTTCGAACGTTCCAGGTCACAAATCGAATAAGTTCACAAGTCAATTTTTGTTTTTGACCGCTAAGGAATATGCCTAATAAGCGCGGTTACCCATTTGGGCAAAGGTTGGGAACGAGCAATGTTTAAGCCACCTTTTCTAGGCCTCTCCTCATTTGAGGTGAGCAGTGTGAGTCCTAAATAGGGCTGCTCAGTCACCCTGGAAGCTGCCAAAAAGATTTGTCATTCCCTTTTCCAACTCTCAGAGACCATCACTCCAGAATCGCCTGCGTGCAACACACAGACTAGAGGCTTCCAATTCCATCTTGAATCTACCTCCATCACCTGTGTAATCATCGCCGCAGGTCTTTAAAAGATCTCCTGTCACCGGAAATAGCGCGCAAAACAGACGCAGGAGAATTTCAACGTGAAAGAAAGTCGCGAAAGCCTTCGGTCCACAAAACTTTGTTGCAGCCATCTAAACTCAGTAGCATGGAGAGTCTCCAAAAAGACTAGAGAAGACTGCAACTGCAGAGGCGTACCGGTTGATTTTAAATGATGAATTCCGCCTGACGCGTGGTCTCAACGCAGATTTGCGATCAGAGTTTTCCTTCTCCTAGACAATGTGTTATTCGTAGCTTCGAGTTCCACCCACCCGGGTTTTGTTATCGGAATGTACCTTCTCCGGGTTTTGAAATCAGAGTTAACCTTTTCCTAGGCAGCTTGATAACGGGTGCTGTCAACCCGGGTCACCTGGTTTAAGCAACAGGAACAACTCGCTTTTACCCCTTCTGCTGTTAGCATTATCTATGAGGAGCGACGAAAACGCCAGCAGCTAGACTTTAGGATTCCCGGAATTTATAGCTGCACAGCTGACCAATGCAATGCAGCCCCTGGAACCCCTACTCCATTATCCCCACAATGAAATTATATATATATATAAAAACTTTTCTAATTTTTTAATACATAAACCTTCGGATTGTTTTAACTTTACCCGGCATTTTATTCCTTACATTATTCCCTTTAGCAGATCAAAAATTCTAAATGATAGCATTTTTATTATGGAGCCTAAAATTTTGTTTAAACTTCTGCCACAATCTATCACTTCTCTCTCCAAACCGGGTTGTTTCAAACATCATTGTAAAACTTTTTTTTTATCCTGTACACATGATATCACTATTTAGGTATGCTATGGTATGGTATGGAGAATTTATATAGCACCCCTCTATGTAAAACTCAGAGGCTATGTTATTATACATATATGTGGGTTATATATATGTTGTTATAGGATTAGAAATGTGTGTGTGTGCTATGTGCGCATATGTGTGCATGTGTATAAATGTGTTTATATGTAAACAAGTTCGTGTTTGTATGTGGACACGATCATCATAATATCATTGAACTATATTCTTTATTTTTGCTTTGTCAATAACGAATTTTTATTGGTTTATTCGCTAAACTACGTTATATCCATTATATTGTCAATATTTTTTGTAGCCTGTACGCAAGTTTAATTTTAAAGTTCTGTTTGTATTAATGTCTATTTCTTTATTTTAAATGAAATTTTTCTGTTTAACGGTGGTCTATCATAAGATCTTTTCTTTTTTGATCTCCGTATCACTTTCATTTTTTACAATTGTTTGATTTGAATTGATGAATAAATAAAATATTAAAATATTAAAAATTAAAAAAAATATATATATATTGTTAGCATTACCTATTATATATATATATGTATGTATGTATATATATATATATATATATATATATATATATATATATATATTTATAAAGTTATTAAGAAACATTGTTCTTCTTTTTATATTTTTTAATAATTAATAATATTTCTGTATAGTATATACGACAGTCTGAACCCATATATATATATATATATATATATATATATATATATATATATATATATACATACATACATATATACATACATACATACATAATTAATTAATTTAAAGTTTGTCTTTTCAATTTTCCTTACTAAAATTTTCTGGAAATCGTTCAGTTTATTTAAAATAAAATTATTATCCAAGTTCATCATGGAAATATAATAAAACTGTTGTTATCAAAATTTATCATGCTGATAGTCCTTATTTCGATTTTTCATGAATCATCTTCTGTGCTGGTTAGGTTTTTTAAAGAATTTACTTTGCTTTGTTTAAAGAAACTTTATAAATTTTCAATATACAATTTCCAAATAATTCTATTAAGGAAAATTGAAAAAGACAAACTTTAAATTGATTAATGCCAACATTGTAGAATTCATACAACGCTGTATAAAATATGGTCTCCATCCAACATATAGGTATACATATACATACATATACATATATATATATATATATATATATATATATATATATATATATATATATATATATATATATATATTTATATAACGAGACTTTTATCGTCTTGATGAAGTTTATTAAGGTTAAATAAAAAACCGAAAAGGCAGTGATCTTTATAAATAATTGTATTTATGATAGTCTAAACACAATATATATATATATATATATATATATATATATATATATATATATGAAATAATGCTGACTAAAAATACTTCCAATTTTTTCAACGCAAAGTTAATTCACTCGATAGGTGGTTAGACGATTTTTTTTAAGATGAAGTTTTTGTAATTTAAATGACATCATAAATTATTACAAATTATTTTAAAAACTAAATTAGTAGTTTTTTTGATTAATTTGACATACATACTACCACATTTAAAAATTTTTATGTTTAAGAACACCCGAAACTAAATCTAAATTTGCTTTGATGTAGGGCTTTTTTATCTAAAAAAAGTCTCTAAAAAGGGGGGTTGTTGGTTGACTGGTTAGGCATGCTCGAGTAATCTGTGCCTTTTTAGTATCTAAGAGACTTAATTCGTGATTCTATGCTCATTGGCATAGTTTCAGAAACGTCTTAAGTTCTCAAAGTGGATTTGGTACGAGATTCTATTCTCATTGGCATAGTTTCGCACGCGTCTCACTCTTGTTGCTTTGTGTTGATTGTGCGAAAGCCGACCAGACTTGACAGCCCAGTGAAAACAGGCCCGGGTTGTGCGAAAGCCGACTGACTGACAGGCCTAGTGAAAACAGGCCTTGGGTTATGTGAAAACGAATCCGCCTCGTTGTTGGGATCCAGCGAAAGCAGATCCTTTTGTTGTACTATTTGTGGACCTAGGGTTCTTTGTTATGTTAGATTCTATACTCATTGGTATAGTTTTGCACGCAGCTTGGAATTCCCATAGGCTCCGATTTTTGTAATCTTTCTTATTTCATTTATCTTTCGGAGTTGTATCAACACCACTATCGGTCACAAACGTCGAGGTTGTACGATTGAACGGCAAGAAACATAACTCAAGTTGCCCGACCCCAACAAGAAGTTCTAATTTCGGTATTCCAGTTCGTTTATTGACCTATTATTTTTAACATTATTCTAGAGTTCAGTTAGTTCAATTCTTTTCATTTATTAAAATTGTTATCGAATATTTTACACCTTCCTGTGTTACTCAGTAAAATCATAAAATTCGAAAAAGCCAGTGCCACACAGGACTGGTCGAACTCACGATAAAAATATACAAAAAAAATTATTGTCGGACCATAAAAAAAAAATTCCCTGAGAAAGAAAGAGATTACTTCTCTTCCGCCGTACGCCCGTGCCACGAACAAACACAAACAGACCCACACACACCAACAATTTCTGACAATATATATATATATACTATACTAATGCACACATGCACACGCGTATAAGCATAAATAGCTACAAAGTTAAACAATTAATTTAATTATTAGCTTAAGAGCTTAGGTGAAATTGTTTTATTTCATATGAACCAGTTAATTTCATTGAAGTTTGTTATTTTGTTGCATAATATTTTTTGGTGATTATTGAAACGATGGGTTTTCACAGAACATTCTAGAAGAATAATGTTGACGAAAATTGCATTGTGTGTGGTAAACTTTAATTTGATTTATTAGAATATTTGTCTTTCGTAGATTTGTGATAGCTTTTATAGCATAATATATACCTTAGAGATTTGTTGTTGTTTGTTATTTATCGTGTAAAGTGTATTGAAGTTCATGCTACGTAATAATACATTTCTTTATTCTCTATTTGTTGCAGTCAAACGCATTCATTCTAAGGTGACAGTTCTTCAAAATGTTATGGCCGTGTGCTGCTTGATTGAAAAGGTTCAATATAACAACGTATGCTAACGTAACAATGCATGACAACATATGTCATTGTGAGCAGCGTCTTACTTCATATTATCGATTCGTTGTATTTTTGCAGATAACAAGTGTAATAATACTTTTAAAATTTCGTTTAATGACAAAAATTACAACTATTCGCAGTTTTAACGATAACAAAATTATAAAACTTTCAACACATCTTTGCAATTCGTTGGCAACCATTCAACCACCAATTAACACGAATCAACAATTTGGACATAATTTTTTTTTGATATTTTTTTTAACCATTGTTATAAATGTAACATTTTCAATAAACATTTTGTTACCGTTTTTACGTCAAAGATATCTTCATGCTATCAAAATCAACCTATATATTTAAACATATATATATATATATATATATATATTCTTTTAATATATATATATGTATATATATATCCTTTTAATATATATATATATATATATATTTAATATATTTTCAATATTCTACAAATTCTACCGAATGTTTGGCGTTAATATGTTGAGGTTCGTTTTTTCGATTTTTCTCACTACAGTCTTTTGGTGAAAACTTAGTTTATTAAAATTCAAAATAAACTTATTTTCCGAATTCCTGCTGCAAATAAGGCTATATTTCGATTCCGAATGAATCATCATCAGTGAGATTTAGTTTATATAGGGAAATATTCACTTTGTCAACGTGTACTTAGATGGAAGTTAGGTGTCAGGTTTTTTTATTGGCTGGTCCATCTTCGTTGGTTTCCTTTTCTTCATCGATAGCATGATATTCTTCTTTGTAACTATTTACAATGCTAGTTTTTATTACTTCTTTGTTTTCATTGTTTATTAAGCGCCGGGTTTGGAGTGAGGTTGTCATTTTTTGTTGTATATTTATTTTTGGTTTATTGATTTCAATTAGGACTGCTTATGCAATTTTAAGATGCGTGTAGTTGCTGTTCTGGTATATTACTTTGATGTTGCTGTCGAGGATTTCACGGCTAATAGTGATTGAATGTGTTGAGCCCAAATGAGATTTGATAGCACCACTCTGTTTATGCTTCGTAAGCCTTCTAGTCAGTGAGGTAGTAGTAATCCCGATATATGAGTCATGTTGACGTGCACAGCCGTCAAAGGGGCAATTATTAAATTCATATATTACGTGATTACGCTTTAACACAGAGTTTTCTCTAGGACTACAGTTGTTTTTCAGTATTAGGTGAGACGTCTTTTTATTGTTGTAATATATTCGGAGTTTAACTTTACTATT